TTATACTCTCTAGTCAGTAAGAAAAATAAAAGTAGCTGAAAGGCTCCTACATGCATTTAGTCTGATACAGTAAGACAGGGGTGAGATACTATGGGCCACTAAAACACAGGTCAATACCCAGCAATGAAGACTTTCACAAGAATCTCAAGCCAATCTGCTCTGTAGAACAGTGCCACCCCCTTCCCAAGAGGATGCCCTTCAGAAGGGGGAGTCAGCTTCTTTAAACCGGCTAGCTAATAATGTTTCTTTGCTGGTGAATCAAAAAATAGGACATTTGTAATTTTCACTGATTATTTTTTCTGAAGATAAAAAGTAGAATCTATCAGGAAGGGAAAAACCATTAAAAGAAGAGAAGAGAGCTTTGCATTGCCTTTTGTTCAGAAACTCCTGACACAGGAGTATCATCTATTGCTTATTTCTTAAGCATGTGAAATGGGAACAGAAGGAACAGGATTAATATATCTGAATTTTTGGCCAGTGGATTAAATCAGCAGTATGTTCAAAACTGACTACATCATTTATGATCCCAATCCTATTCTCAGAATTACTCAAGAACTAAGGGAAATACTAACAACAACATTGGACTGATTTTTCAAAGATGCTTAGAACACATCCAGTGATGGTGGTGCTCAGACTGGGCCATTTATCTAGCTTGTGGGGCAGCCACACAGTTTCCAGTCCATGAGCTAACTTGCTCATCTCTATACCATGCTGCTGTTTCACAATAAATGTAGCAGAAGGTTCCCAAAGGCTGAAATTATACTCGAGAAGAATATTTAGGCTGTTAAATCATTCAGGCACTTTCAAAAGAGTTACTCACGTCTGTGAATCTAATTGCTCTAAGCTTGATTCAGCTCAATTTTAAAAATCAGCTAAATTGGTGCTAATGCTGACAACACTAAAATGCTCTTAAACCAATTTAAGGTTAATTTGGTAACTTACCAACATAAAGGTTAAGCTGACTAAAGGTATTTTTTTATATAGAATTTTATAGAATTGCACTGGCTTAGCTATAATAGCAAAAAATAGTTTATTCAAACTTCTCTAATACTACAAGCTTCTAACTTTACTTAAGGTAACACTTCTCTAAATAAAAAAAGCCATAGAGGAAAATGACACCAGTAAATACAGTTTTTGTTCTAGCACTGAGTTACTTGAATATTTCAGGATATTCGGTAAAGCAATCATCAGTAGAAAAAGAAAACTCCTATTTCCCTGACTTAAATGATCTTCTTTCTTGTAAGGAGTAACCCTCTTGGATAAGAAATGCTGCTGTGAATAGGTCTAGACTTTACACAGCCATGGGTCACTAATTTAATTAGATTTCAAAGCAGCTATTCTACATTTACACTGAATACAATACTTCCTGTACCCTCCCTCATACTAAAAGGAATAAAACAATCCCCCAGAAGTTTACACCTCAATGCATGAGGAAACAACAACAAAGTGCACATACAATACCTTGAGTTACAGATGGGGTTTATATTGTTCAATTTATTAGGAAACCCCTAACTACCTGCTAAGTTGGTATTTTTAGCATGGAAAACAAAAGGTTTTCTCCTTTCTAGTGAGATAGGATTCTGTTTGACCTGCTCTGCTCAGAAAATGACTGCCATCAGCCAACCTCAGTAACTTCCCCTCCTAATTATGAGCTTTTACACATATTACAAAATTAAATCAAGCTTCTCGGTATGAATAAAAGAAATTTTAAAAATGAACTTTACTGGTAACAGTGGAAGTCCCTGCCTTCTGTAAAAAATAGTAGGTTTTGTAGGGGTTTTCTTGAGGGGTGAAGGGTAGGCTACAGCAAGGATAGGAGCCCTGCTGTGTATCAGTGTTTGGTCTTCTGAGCTTTTCTCCTTTCAAACAAAAATGGGAGCTGCGGTTTTCACAGGGTTCTTGTATCACGTTTGTTACCCTGCATTTCAGACTCTGCAAGGTTACCGCTCTCATAATTTGAGTGATCCAAAGCTGCATGGATTCTTTACTTGAAGAAATTGGGGGTTTTGGCCTCACTAAAAGCCATGAGGGAATAACAAGAAACCAAGTTCATATTCTCTTCCAGGAGCTCACATAACATTTCAAAGAATTACACAAGATAGGACCTGTTACTGGAAGTGAAACCACACTAATAGACGGGATCATTTGCCTCCAGATTAACCATCTATAAATGACCTGAAAATACCTATTATTTGACACTATCATACTGCTACACATTTGTACTGTTATTCAGCAACATGTATGTAAAGGAAGAATGTCCTACAACAACTATATGAACAATCTATGCAAATAACTTTGTTATTATTAACAACAGTCCAACTTCACACATCTTGCTCTGCTGAAGCAGAATACAAATTCAGTCTCGGTCCGGCTGTTACACACAAGTATACACCCTCTCATACTCCATTCTTTCACAGGAAAACCAGATGCCAGCTTGTATCATACACAAAGGGCAGGGGCAGTTGTCAGGCTATAATCAGGGATTCCTCTGGATCTCACATATAAATGAAACTGAAGGTGTTGATTCCCTAAGCCGACAATACAGTTCCTCTGTAGGCAGCTACAGCCTACTACCTCACACACTGTCTACACAGCTAGAGAGATTTTGTGAAGAGTGGATATAATGATGCTAGTGCCAAAGTTTCTCGCAAGTCCAATGCTTCGATTTTGTGAGCAGCATTCCCACGCTGTGAATGGCAAACTAACAGCAGTAAAAGGTGAAACACACCATAACCTATTTCTACAGTGCAGTATTTCTGGAAATAAAATGGCTACTAGGACATAAAAATTTTTTGATGCACAAATGAAGCTGAAATTATACTAGTCTCTTTACTCTCTCATGTTAGTGGTAATGGCAATGAAATAAAACTGGAACAATTACAGAATGCATGAAAATTGGTTTCTAAACATCCATTCCTCTTTCTGATCTCCTGAGTCATCTTTCTTTCTGATCTCATGATAAAACTGCTGGGCCACAGTACTTATTTGTCATCGTATAATGGAAATGAAAAGTCAGTCAACATAAGATATCCAGCAATTTGTTATCATATGAAAGGTTTAAAGAGAGCTGTTTTATGGCTTCTAATGAATTTCAGTGTATCAGCTTAGATATTTTAACATCAGTGCTGTGATGAAAGAGCAGACTTTAATGGTATGAAAACTGAGAAAAAATAAGTAGATATTGGAATGCAATTTAAAAATTGCCAGGACAGAGAGCACTGGTGATCCATAAAATGTCTAAACCCCAGACCCAAACATACTGCATACTCTCATGTGCACACGAAAAGAAAGGGGGTAAATGGAAGTAATGAACAACATTCAAAGGTAAGCTTATTTTAATCTGGTTGTAAAAAAAGCCACAGGGACAAAAGTCCTCGCCCTGCTCCCCCAAAAACTAGAAAGCAAAGCACAAAAAGTGAAAGGAGTTTAGTGGGGGGAAAAAGAGATCACAGGAAGAAACAATAATAATGTAAAATGGAGGTGGAAAGAAACTGGATTCTGTCTTTTCAAAAGCAGCGTTCTTTGCTAGTCACAGATGAAAGACACTGATTTCATTAAAAGCAGTTTAAGTGAAAGAACAGGAAGGCACAACTAAGTATAACTAAGGGGTTAACATAAGTTTGGGGAAGGGGTCCCTATCCTAATTAGGAACATAGTAAATAAAAAACAATTACGATGTTATTTCCTCAATTATGGCCACTTCTGCTTTACAAAGTGATAAGTCGTAACAGCAAGCACTGATGTGACCTCAGTATTAATTAGCAGGACAGAGCCCTCATGCAGTTACAGGGCAATATCCCTTGGCACAGGACTACAACAAGGAAGAAGAGAAAAGATACAAGAAGCCAGAGAGAAAATCCAGCATTGTATTATTTCCAGAGAAAGTACCATCTTGAGACATTTGAGGATGCCCCCCAAAAGGCCAGCGTCAGGGACCTGAGGCACACATGCAGAGCCTCTTGATACTCAAGACAGCTGTAACTGGGACTAGATAAATTGCCAGAGCTGTGATGAGAGTGCTGGAATCAGAGCTGTGGGGTTTAGCAGGAAGATGAAAGCCGTCCGTAACACATCCCTCTTTTTACCTTCTCCTACCCCATGGCACTGTGCCTGAACAGTGCCACATGAGCACATTCCTGGCTACTTCTGTCTACAGTAGTGGCAAACATACATTTTTACTGCCTTTTCTTTTTTTTTTTTTTTGAAACCACAGAGCTGCTTTATCTCCAGTCTAGCAGAAGTTCACATGGAGATGGCCGACTAATTTGAACTGACTGCAGACAAGTTGGTATACAGGCGTTACTGAGTAGCATAGACCAGTAGGGACCACCAGAGAGAGATGAGCTTCATAGCAAATTCTAATTTATTCACAACACATGGAAGAATATGTCAGCAAAGACTCTCAAAGCGAAGCACATTAATTAGTTAAGCCTACTCAAGTTTTGTGGCTATTTTAAAATTAATAGGGTTGAGTAAACTAGGGCATGCAGACAAAAAGGCCCACATCCTCGAAAGCACGTTGTGGGTATGCTGAGAATTGTCTTTGTTGATCTGGATCTAAATGGATTTCAAGGTCTAATAATGAATCAATGAGCTTCCCACATTCCTATCTCTCTGTGATCAGGCTATTATAATGACCTGGGATTCAAAGAGTGTCTTCCACTGCATTATATTAAACCAAAGCTCATATTAAAGAACTTTCAAAATGTGAAATTATGTGATAGTTGACTCATCACAGCAAGAACCATAAAGCTGAATACTGCTGTTGTCTTTTTTACATACCCATGTAACCATATGCAAATTATACCAAGAACAGTCAAGGCAAAATAATAAACCATGGTAGGTGTCAAACATCATACTTGCTGTTATCTTCCATGGTATGTGTTTATAAGAGATGCATGGATCACTTTACAGTTAGCAAGAAGTTTGTGATGAGAAGAGAAATATTTTTGTCTCCCAAGTATCCAATAATATTTAAAAGTAAAGAAAAGTTAACATACCTGTTCCTTTACTCGTCTTTTTTTCAGACTGTGCCACTTGTATAACCTCAGCAGCAGCATCCCTTACCACCAAATCTTCATTCTGCAGCAGTAGAACCACACATTTCCACATAGCAAGGGTATCAGACAGTCCTATATTTATTTATGGAGAAAAATTAGAATTCTACTTCTTACATGCATTCAAAGAAGTTACAGAGCTCTGTTTCCACACCTAAACACAACAAATGCAGTGAAACACTTAAACATGGGCAGGAGAAATGCAGTGGCAAACCACTGGGAAGACAGCTGGCAATATGATCAAAATGTTTTCAGCATGTGTGAACTTTATCTAGGTGGTTGACTGAGCTTGGTTTAAACAGTGGGCAACAGCTAAGAGAAGGGACCTCTTTTAATCCGGGTTCAACTTTAAGTCGTGGGTGCTCTGGATTTTCTAGAGGTTCTAGGATTGCAGAATTCCTGCTTGGCAACAGCAAAAGTTTTGCCACTGGAGATCGACCAACGCCCTGCGATCACGGATTTTTTGTTGCAGTCTGCCTGGAGCAAGGGCTGCCAAACCAAGTTTTGTTCAGATACTGCCAGTAGTGCTGGCCACGAATGCCGTTCCCTGCAGGAAACGGCAAACAATTCCACCTCCCAGGGATCTACTTGTCACCTACTTCTCCCACACCCACCTCACCCCACCCCACTACTCACCTGCCCTGCCACTATCTGTTGGAAGCAAGCCAGGTTTAATCCATGGGATAATTACCTGCACACAGTTAAGACTAATCAGAGATAATGACCACAAGGGAGGTGTTCATCTGGTAAACCCCAAACAGGCAGACTCCACATACCACCCCAGTGGCAATTCACATCTCACAAGCCATGCTCCACTTGCAAACCCTTGTGCCATTTAGTGGTGTCACACTAAGGATGACTAGCTGAAGTCACAAGGCTGTGGGTACTTTTCAGCTCTCATTGAGCATCCTCATTAAAGGAATCCACTGGAAGGTCTCTTTTAGAGGCAGCCAGCTGTTAGGTATTATTTTCTGGTGATCACAGAGAACAACGGAGTTGGTGCTTCATCGCTGCGCTGGTTTTCTTCAAGCATGTTATCAACAGGTCTATCAGAGATTTGTATTACAAGGCTAGCCAGACAATTAATTGTATTTCTCTGCTTGGCCAAAATGAATTGCTTGAGGCTTTACAACACAGGCAGAAGTAGTATTCCTGTATTTCATGTAACTTCCCTATGTGGAAATAGCATGGAGTATAATTATTTCAGAAAGAAGTTGCTTTTTTCTAGCATGACACACCCAATCATGTTATAGTGGCACAGCTAAGGCAGAATAATTGTTCCCTTCTAGGTACAATGGCCAGCTTTCCCACCTAAACAAGTTTCTACCATATCTCCAGGAAAGGTGGAAGTCTGCAAACAGATTTTCCAGAAAGACTTTTTCTGAACCCTCAAGCAACATGATGGAGAGATGATGGGGTCATCCAGAACATTGGCATTCACCCTCTTCTTCTTATGAACATACTTAAAGGAAGCTTATGGGAATGACTACAACTCCATTTCATACAACCACAATTTTCTTTAACTTCTACTTTGTACTATATGTGGTCAAGCAAGCTGATGCAGAATGAGGCATAAAGGTCAAAGCTGTTTATATGTGCATAACCCCTTTAACTTTAAGGGAATGATTCTAGGTTTGTATCACTGCAACTAAACACCAGATCACGCCCTTGATTTGTTAAACTTATTGCAGTACTTGACAATTTCACAGTTGTGAAGAACCCCAGACCGACAATTCTAGGTAGTATGGAGGGTCAGTACTGCATCTTTCTTCCCCAGGCCCAAGTTTCAGAGCAAAGAACAGATTCAGATAGTTTGCCTGCGGAGGCCCTGGGGGCTTTTCTGTGGTGATTTGGCTTGTTATGTTGCTTTGTTTTGTTAAAATTTTAAGCAGGATACAAACTGCTGCTATTTACTGTTTCAGACCTTCACATCTGCCCGATTGGAAGGCATGGAAACCAGCAACTGTTCTGACAAGATCAAAGAGGAAACTCTGTTCTCCATCAGCCTCGGACCAGATCCAAATGGCAGCAGACGAGAAGCACAGCATTTGGGAGTTTTTCACTCTGATACCTCCCCGTCTTCATTTGATATAAAATGGTAATGCCTGTTCTACTAAGAGCTTTAAGTAGATGGCAGAGGTCAGGATTTCCAGAGTTGACACTATGAACATTTAATAGTACAACGTCTACCTCATATAGCAGATTTAGCTTTGTTAAATGTTATCAATACCTCTTAAAAGACGCATTTCAAAATAAATAGCTGACTTTTTAAAAACACCACTATCTACAGTTTAAGAAATACTACCATTCTTCTTGTCTAACAAAAATTTGTATCCAGTCCATGTAAGTGGACTTAAGCTACTCAAACTAAAAACATTTATATAACTACATTGGAATAAAATACCACAGAAACTAAGTATTTAAAGCCAACTGTCTTGTTCAGGATGCAAAATGATTTCTTTATCATCTATCACTACCAATTTTTGCGTATCTCCTGGCTCTTTAGTCACAAAATCCCCTTACTCGCTGTTCACCAAGCAGGGGGGGGGGGAAGCTAGTAGAAAAAAACCAATGTCTTCTGCACAACAGACCAAAAAATTTCACACAGCTTTGCCTCTCAGTCAGTAATGTATTGTTGAATAAGGCTGTGTAGGGTTTTTTTGTTTGTTTGTTGGTTTTCTAAAGAGACAGTCCAATGTTAACTTAAAAAAAATTATTGTATCTGGGAGGTATAATGTGACCCAATTATTAATCGTTCTCACAGTAAAACGTGTCTCTCATTTCTAGACTGAGCCCTTTAATTTCAACATTCAGCCAGCACAGCTTTGTTACACTCACAGTGTTAAACTAAAAGCATGTCCACATCACCAACAGAGTATTTCAGAAAGATGCAAGTCAGAGAGCAATTGCAAGCCAGTAAATCTGTACCACAATGTACAGTGGCCTGGAGACATAACAGCATCTCACGCTCCCCTTCTGCGGAGTTATTGCAAGAGGCTCTGCACATGTGCTTTTTGTACCAGAATTTAAATAAGTCTGTTTAGTACATTAAATCCAATTATAATTTTCAAAATACCGTGTTTGATGTAATTATGTTTTGACTGTGTGTAAACATATATGTGTACAATACATTTTAATTCATGTATTAATGGGTTTCCTCTAAAAAGATCCAGAAAATTGATGTTCAAACTACTCACCAAGAATGAGCTTCTCATTGATCAGAATAAATGTTGTTATACTTTTAAGAACTTCAGCAGCTGCTAACAGCATCTCTGTCTGTTGCTCATCTCCACAAAAATAAACTACCAGTTGAACCCATTTTTTCAGGACTTCTTCTGAAATCTGAAGGCACAGAAGATGCGAGAAGTATGCTTTACAATCCGATGTCACCGCTCACCATCACATTAAACTATGGACTGCTGAAGGGATACTACTCATGAGTAAATGCAGGTTTTTTTCCCAAGGTGGTGAATCCCAGAATTCCATTCAAAAGTTGGCTTACTATGTCACAGATAGTTAAGATGGGAGATTTTCTTTTAGTCAGAGCAGAATTCATAGGCAATTCTCTCACTCTGTCCCTTCACACCAGACTCACCAGTGACCACACAAGTCAAAGCATATCTATGTGTCCTCAGTTCTTCTAAACATGCAAGCCAAAGACAAATATACTGGACTGTAACAAAGAGAAGCAATTCTCAGAAGCATCCTACAAGTAGAATACACATATCTGGAAAAACAACTAAAAGCATATGAACCATAGCATCAATCTTAGGCTTTGAGAATGATACAATGCTTGGTAGAGGGGTGAATGCAGCTCCATCTGCCTCCTCTGCAGATACTGCAGATGGAATTTTTTTTAATAAGACTGCTGAGGTATCTTGGGTTCTGACAGCATGTGCATTCAAAACACTGAAGGAACCTCTATGTTGGCTGATACACAGCAAAGGTCACTGTCCTAAAACCGGAAGAATTAGAAAAAAGAACAGGAAAGAGAAATTTCCTGTTTCACATAAAATCCAGTTGCCATTTTTTGGAAAATATTTAGTCCTCAGACATATGCTAGGAATACTACTGCTCAGTAATAATGGGACAAAGCTTCGACTCTTCCCGACATGTAGTGACAGCTACTAGATTTTTTGTGGAAAGAAATAATGTGCATTTTACCCAAAACTCAAACTTCCAAGACTTGTCAACTCTGACCTCCATTGGGACAGCTGGGCCGTAACTGGGAAGAGAAAGTCCTAACTTCCGTAAGTGACAAAGAAAGAGCTGGGATCCCCTGCAAATGCCACACTCAGGAGGGCGGCGGGTCAGTCAAGCTGCAGAAGCCTCAAGCGCAGGTTAGATAACAGAATATGCAAACTGCAGGAGGTGGCATCCAGGCACAGCCACAAGCAAGCGTGCACTACAGCAATTAGAAGGAAGCTCCAGAGGAAAAAAAAAAACCAAACAGATTGGGACCTCATGCACAGGAGAACAGGAAAAGCAGCATCAGCTCAACCTGAGACACTTGAGGTATGTGCAACTAACTTCTTTTTTTTTTCTCCCTTCTTTCCTTTTTTACTTATTTTTAATTAAAGGAAGTGAAAAAAGAACAACCAAACAAGAAGAGAACCAATGAAGAGGTGACTTGAGTTAAAGGGCAGATAAGCGCAGGAGGACTTACTAAGGGATAAACGAAACCTCGGTCATAATCTGCCTCATTCTGCATGGTATGTGGCCACGTACCTGCACTGCACAAAGGGACAGAGCCAGAGCATGTCCTACAGATTCTGTAACAGGTTAAAAAAAATAAATCTCCCGAGATGTTACAGTTACTCAAATTTTCAACAGACACATGGACTATCTAGGAAGACAGAAATTGATTTTTACTTTAGGGAAGAGAAACAATCCCTTCTACAGCTGCAAATACTGAATGCAAGCCCAAAGAAAGAATTTAGATGGAAAACTGATGTACTTGGTCTTTTATAAAACAGAAGGCACTCTCTGTACAGATGTCTTAGATCTCCCATGATTTACATGCTTACCAGAGAAATTTGTTTTAGCAATACTACAGTTAAGATTGTTACAGCATTTTTCATTAATTCCTCTCTGTAAATTAATACAAAACTTCAAAGCGATAACATGTTCCACGTCTATTTGTGAAATCACGTTTATATGGTTATTTTAATGTTTATAACTTGAAGACCTTGCATTTTGCCTTTCTTAAACAAAAAGATTTAACATCATAATTTATGTTCCCAATTCTTGTATGCAAATCTGTGGCTTCCTTTTTTTTTTTTTTAATCATGAGACAAGATTATTAGCATACAATATGAATAAATTCTGCTGCACATTCTATAAAAAATAACAACTACATAAGGAAAAAAAAAAATCTTCATTTTAAAACAGATCATGAGAATTTTGTCTATTTTTAAATATCCATTAAGTGTTTTTTGTATCTTTGAAAACAACAACAAAAAATGGCCTAGCATTAAAAGCTGCCTTAGCACTGCTCTACACATACATACGTGACATCACAGACTGACAATTTAAAATCAAAAGACATCTGAGCCAGTAATTTGTGCTGGTATAAATCTAAATTAAATAGTCTATAAAGAGGAACGGAGAATACAGAGCCTTGAATTTTACAAGGGTTATTTTTACTCTAGTGTTTTAAAAACAAATTTTAAGAGCAAATTCCATGAGAAACTCCATGCAGACAAGCTGGTGTGCTCAGACAGTGATTTCAGGCTAAGACTTGGCAAGGTCATACTGCACACAGTGAGGAAGGGAACTGCACCCAACCACTGCTTCAGCTTCTTGCCTTCCCCTCGGATCTGCTCTCCTCCTGGCTCCCCAGCAATTACAAACCACAACAAAGTTGTACTTTAGTAAATGGACTGGATTCAGTACATGTGTTAATCACCATAGGCATTTTTCTTTCCACATTATAGTGACTATTTTGGATGCTCTCAGAAGTTGAAATTAATCCATCAGAAAAATTTACTTAAGTATTTAACTCGAAATGACTTTGAGAGGGATATACTGAGATGATATTCATGGCCATTTCATTTCAGAACGTGGCAGTGTATTCAGAGCGGAAGACATAACGCCAGAAAAGGTGCAATGGCACAAGAAAACACAAGCTTGGGGCTTCTATCTAAAAGAAGCCACGTTACTTCTATCACCAAAAACTCAGAATTGCAACACTCTTAAGCAGCTCCATTTCCCTTACCTGCTGATGGTCCTGCAAAAGATGGATAACCAACTTGGAGGCAAATTTGAGAGCTATGCTTTGAACTTCAGTGCTGAGAAAACAAGGTAAAGAACATATCAAAAAAAAGCAGCTATTTCTGCCATCATTTCACCTCTAGGAAAAAAACAGCCAGTTCTTAATCATTCCTGATTATCACCAATGGGTATTCCGCAAGCTGAGCACTCAGAATTTTTACATTACAGATCTTGATGTTAAGTTTTTAGTTGATATGCAAATGAAATATGCTCTTACTTTCACCTCTCTTGTGTTTGTTTTCTATCTGCACACTTCCCATAGAAAAAAAACATTTGAAAATGGAAGTCAAGTCAAACAAACCAGACATCATTTTAAACGATAAACAAAAGCATTTCTTCAAGCTGGTGTTAAGTTCCAGGAATAGCTCTTCTATAGCTGCTAGAAATGTTACTAGTGCAGAATATGCCAACTGCCGGCTCCCGAGCCTCCATACTGCCCAGCAGGGTCTAAGGACATGACACTTGGCACCATGGCTCCTGAAGGGCTGGTCTCACCGCAGGGAATGGCAACACCTGAGCAGTAAGGTCTGCTATTTCAGCTATTTCCCTCTAACAGCACCAGTCAGTGTTATTTTACCGCAAGTATCTTATTTCATTCCAGAAATAAACACTCCACATCATCATTTAAACTTGAAAAAATTTAGTGCAAATCAGCAGCAATGTGCACAGCTATAAAATGCTGTTCTACACTCTATACCATAAATATTCTACATTGGTAACACTGGGGTGCAATGTTTATACGGCTTAAAAAAAGAGACTATTAGAAACAGGATGGTCTTGCCCTTAGAGCCTGGATGCTTCAACCCTGTTTGTCCATTCTGTTACGAATGGATGGACACAGCTTCTAATTCAGTACGAACTACAAACTGGCTTCAAATTTTCAGCACTTTCTGCTGACTCTACAGTCTGATTAAGAAGTGCTAACCCTAAGGATTAGGGTTAACCATTTCTGCCAATCCAACAAGTGAAATCAGATCTGTCACTCTTTCTATAGACTGTCCACAGATAAACCAAGATAGGACAGATGGCAGATTCACAGTGGATGAGTGTATGTTTGGATCATCAATTCTACGCATTATGGTGTTTCCCGATTACCATTCAGGAAGCGCTATGCTCACTGGCTGTCATCTGACAGCCGGAACAACTTCTTATTTCAGGAACTGCATTACTGGACATTTACAGGGTGCTTGCCAGTATGACTTGTGGGCTTTTTTAATAATTCAGATCCATGTCTAACTTCTCTGAAAAATTCTAATCAAGAGCTCTCTGTATTCAAATAAGCCACACTCACTTTTCTGAAACATGGATTTTTAAATCAACAGATAGTCCAAAACCAATAAATTAATGCTTCAACATTTAAAGTTTTTAAATGTAAGTATTTTAACATGCATGACAGACCATACCTGTCGGAGATATCTACAATGTTTAAACTCCAGGTTAAGAGCTCATTTGGATTCATTTTTATAGAGCATTCAGTCTTTGGAAGCACATTTCTAAGATCCATATTATGAAGAATTTCCAGCACCTGCACACACAATTCACAAACAAAGAATTTACAAACAATCTCAACATGAATGTGTGCATTTGAGATCAATAAAACACTGACTTAAACCCCACTCCAAGAACACAAAAGTCCTC